ACTCGATGATGTGTGTATTTGTACAATATGGGTAATTGACATGAGATAGGTACTGCTAGAGAAAATGCATTTTACTTCGTACCACAGGTTTTTCTTCATTATATACATTATAGTGTTATGCCATGGCCCACCCCAATCACATGACGATTCATATCATCTGGATTACGCATAGCTTCTCTGCGATTTACGCTCCGTATATCTTAAAGGAAAGGTCAATCCTGTCAATATTGTTGGCCACATAGCAGCAGTTGTGTACACTTATTTGAATAATGAAAAAAAAAATAAAAAAAAAAAATAATATAGTTATAATCCCATATATTATGTCATATGGTCGCCGCCATCTTGGCAATTTTCAAGCGCCCTCTTATTGGGTCAGACGAGAATGCGAGCGGAATTCTTTTATGCACTGTGACGTCAAAGGCTAGGTTAATTAGTGTCCAATTAGGGGGTTATAATGAGAGAAGCTTGGACCCCCCCAATACATTTTGCTGGATCCGCCACTGAACCTGAGCGTTGCTCCACCCTGATATTTAACGTGAGCTAGGAATATTGTTTACAGCGGAAGCTCAAACAAAGTTGGAGCGCCGACACTGAGCTCCAAACTGAGCGTCTAAGGTCACATTAGCTGTTTTGAAGTTGAATATCATGTTTCCAATTCTGCAATTGTCCAAGAGTTTCTGACGGTCAACTAGCCGAACCCACAAAAATGCCACACACATAAGAGCGACAATGTTTCTTCAAACATTATGTTGAAAATAAATCTCAGTAAGTGAAAGGGAAGAACTTTATAAAGATCTCACTTTTACAAATTATGTTGACATCAATATCTGTATTATGTGGGGATTATATTCACGAGCGCCCAGTAGTGAAACAAAATACGTAGAAATGCTTGTTTTACCACAAAAATGGTAAAATGTATAATCTGGAAGGCATCCTGGGAAATGCTTTGGTCTCTGCTGCCAATCATTTTCGGTACATGTTTTTCCAAAAACATTGTCTCCCACCCAACTCCTAAATGCACAAACAACACAACAAAATGAATATTTATGAAGTACAGTATTCCCTTCGCCTTTCTGTCAATGTATTACTATGATATTTGTAGTGCTTTTGAGATGGTTTTGTCTCTGAAGATATTGTACCTTTTGTCTATTCACAGTCTCTCTATCCCTCTATAGAGGGACTGTGAGTGGTGTTAGACCTTGAGTTTGTTTATGTTTGGTCTTAATCTAGCTTGTAATCAAACAAACCAGGGCTTAGTCTGGATTTTCCCATCAAACTTTGTAAAATTTTAGTTTTTGTTTTGTAATTTGGGTTAGACAATACTGTTAGAACACGTTGTCTAGTGTTTTTCTTGCCAATTCTTGATTATGTATATTACAGCACTATTAAACAACTTATTCAATCTATGCTATGAGCTATAGAATACATTCATATTAGTACTATAAGATAGTAATATTATTCTTGCCAAAGTGTTTTAGAAACTTGTATACAAATAGTGTTATATTAGTCTGTGAGGGACATTGTGATTAATAAAGTACCTGCAGTGTTATTTGAGGAACATGAGTGTTATTTATTGTTTATGTAATTATGGTGATTCATTGTTCTTGTTCATTTCCAGTCAGAATTGTCCCCACCTAAATTTTAGCCAGTATTTAGTTTTAGTACTTTGATACTCACTTTATTCATCTATTCATATAATAATATAATAATATAATATTTTGGTTCTCAATGAACAAGGTTGTAATAGTTACGCTATGTTTTTACAGGTGTGACGGTTGAAAGGTCACCAGGTCAAAAACACATCGTCGCATATATCAAATTGTGTCCATCGCATTTTAAAAACATATGCATGGATTCAATCGATCATACTGTGATCTAAATAATTTGCATAAAATTAAATAATGCCATAGTGTTAGGATAATTTATTAACCGAACAAGGATTAGTGTACAACCCACGTCCTGACCTTTACCTGCTATTTATATCAAACAATCCGCTTATGCTGTCAACGCTGTACTATTTGTGGCGACGACGAAAAGGCACTGGTAATTATGAATATTGAAGGAAAAGTTGCGTTGATCACAGGGGCGGGACACGTAAAGGGAATTGGATATGCCATAGTGCGACAGCTTCTCGGTAAAAGAGTAAAGGTGGGTGACACTCCCACTATAGCGTGAACGTTTATATGTTGACAATGTGGCGACCCCAACAACGTGTTTTAATAATGTGTTGATATTTCCGACTAAACTTGATAATATCGTTGCTTTTGTGAACATATTTTCATGTTTTCATGTACTTTAAATAATCAATGTGTATATACATATTAATATTATACATGTTGTTGCACACTAGCCACGTCACAGAGTCATACCCAAGTGTTTATGCAGTGGTGTGTACACGTGTTATTTGTTTTACTGACACCTTTTGTCAGATCCTTTACCAGTAAAAAATGTTTGGAATATAATGTTCAAGGCATACATGGATTAATCGTTGATGTCTTTATTTGTACAGTATGACTGATTGACATGAGAGGAATCCTACCTTATAAAACATATTTTGATTTGTGCCGCAGTTGTTGCAAAGATGTCCGTGCTGAATGCACTATGAAACCATAGTCCTGTCACAATATTTTAACTAACTTTGATTACTAGATACAGTTTACAACTTAGGGTATATTTTCACCAATACCAACAAGCTCTATCATAAAATATTTTATTCAAATTATTTTTGATCTCTGAAACAGCTCATCGAAAAACAATTAAATAAATGGGGAACAAAATATGCCTGTTTTTGACCAATGCGCAGATATGATTAGGTTTTGGATTAAATCGCGTGCATATTAATTACTTAATTAATTTTCATGATAATTATATATTTTAGCTGTTCCATGACTCATCGGGCTTTGATGAAACATAGATGCTCTAAGGACAATGCGTAGACCTGAGTAGTTGTAGGTAAAAAATTCTAGTCAATTTTCGGCTTTTCCCCTGATATCTCAAGCATTAATCATCACATTTCAATGAAACGTGGTACATACACAGACTAGTTATTATTTCTCTATTCATCGGCATTTCTATCGATATCTCAAATTATATTTCTGTAAAATTGCGCAGATCATATTAGTTTTATATTAAAATCTGTGCATATTAATTAACTGATTTACAAAGTAATTGGTCAGTTTTCAGATTTTCCACCAAGATCTCAAATACGTATCATCTTATTTCAACGGAACTTGGTACATAGATACTGTAAGACAATGCAACGATCTACTTATTTTTTGGGTTTATATACATCTATAATGATTATTTATTTATTTATTGGTTTATTGGTTTGTTTGTTTATTGATTGATTGATTTATTTAGGGAGTTGGGATTCTAGATATCAATGATGAGAACGGTCGAGAAGTATTAGATATCTTGCAGAACGAGTTTGGTGAGCACAGGGTGATATATGTTAATTGTGATGTTACGTCGAAGACTGACTTAGAAGGTATTTATTACCATTTGTGTTTCTGATGCACAAAAACTTTATTTTATACAACAAATAAATAAAAGTTAAACTATTTAACGCGCTGACTGGTTACGAGAGCAACGCAATAAGTCCTACATACTATTTTAGGTCGCCCAAAAAATCAGTCTATTACTCGAGGTCATAGGAAAATAATTGATAATAGATACTTCACATATACAAATACATTATTATATTATTTTTTAGGTGCATTTGAAAAAGTGAAAACCCATTTTGGTAGACTGGATATTGTATGCAATAATGCTGGGATCCAGAATGAGGTCAACTGGGAGTTAACTCTAAACATTAATCTGGTACAGTTATTTATGTTTCTAAACTATACATTTGTACATCAGTTAATCAGTTAAGACTAAATAACATGCTATTAATACATTTCTATGTTTGTGTTTAGATGGGTACCATCAGAGGCACATATCTGGCACTTGAACACATGGGTGTAAATTATGGTGGCAGGGGTGGAATCGTTATCAACACGGCATCTATCGCTGGTGAGCGCAAAGATTTGCCCATCTTGTGATGTTAAATATTTCGTCTTTAAAAATGAATGAAGTTTAGTAGAGTGTTAGTAAAGTAGGCTATTGATTAGGCTATGGGTAATTTAAGTGCGAAAAATGTATCTCCGTCGACATTTTGATCGGTGCACAGCCCCTCCGACATCTCATCTACTGCTTTCCACCAAAAAACATTAAATATAATACATCTATAAGTGATATGTACATGGACATGAAACCGTTGAAAAGTTCACATGCAGTGCGTTATGTTGAAGGGTGGATGAATTTTACAATGGCTAAGCCAATAAACTTGCCATTTTATTTTATAGATTGCAAGAAATTAACTCCCATGATGCTCTCTTTATCTTTTTTACTTTTTCGGCTTAGTCTTGAAAACTACAAGTCTGATTGCTTTGATACTTGGTGTGTATGTACCTTGGCTAGATCTCTTATAAGATTGTTCATTTCGTGATGAATTCTCTGATTTAGATAAAAGTGATATTTTTGTCCTCTGATATTATACAGATTTCTCGATTTTGTGATCATATGTTCAATTTACTAATTCTGCTTAGGGACGACGTCAAAAGATCGATGTCGGATAAAAAACTTATTTCCATTAGTTTGGGGGTGGGGGATTTTGACCTCAAAAAGTTTCCATCCTACAAAAACGATTTTATTTTTTAATGAAGTCAAAAAGATTTTGGAGTATTTGTACTTCGTTTTTTTCTATCCAATCATGAACAGAAATAACAGAAAAGAGAAAAAACAGAAAAATGGTTTGGTTCAAGTGTAAATCTGTGCGTCAAATGAGGTGCATTTGTAAAAAAATTTACACCAACCCGACAACTGCTATGCAATACTACTGTCCGATTATCAATTTGTATTTAATGGTGAATGTAGTCTGACGCCATGACCAATATTTATCAATTAAGTTTCAGTGGGGGGTAGGGGGGTTGGAAAAAAACTAAAGGAATTAAGTTTTTTTTATCCGACATCGATCTTTTGACGTCGTCCCTTATAGTGACTAAAGATTGAACTGCATACCATAAATGCAGATCCACATGACATGAAAGGGTAACTGAATAACATAAAGACGAAACTACATATAACATGGAGCCTTAAAATAAATTTGTTCTGAGCTGTAATACAGGCGATTGATGGCATAATTGGCAATTGAAAGGAGAAGGATGTCAATTAAACTTCATCGCAACCAAACACATGAGAATGCATATGTCACAACATCTGTATTGCAAACAACAATAAACCGACAAATCATGTGTGGCGTTAATCAGGGTTAATAATAAGTGTTCAATCAATACATGACATATTGTCCCTTTTTGTGTATCTAAGAGCATTCCACCATAATAACTTGCTCGAGTCGGATTAGAATGTTGATTTTCATTTTATTCATATTATATCTTCATTTCTGTGTATTAAATTGTTAAATTTGCACGAGCTTGTTTTGTAAAAAATGAAAGAACATTAGCTGAAAATGGTTTCATACTGCTCAAATAAAACAGTTTGTATTAGAAAGTATTTTCTTAATTTCAGGCATCATGACAACCTCTCATTTTCCAGTATATGGTGCATCGAAACATGGAATAGTGGCATTCACACGAAACACTGCAGTAAGGAAGTTTCTAAATTGTATAATGAATGTAAACGCGAGTTACAGTGGTCATGGCACAGTGTGATATTTGAAAAAAATGATAATATATGGTTCGAGATCTTTTATGTTCAAACATTTCACAAAATGAAGATGGCCATTGACTACACATTTTGCTTGATGTGAATGGTAATCTTTGTGAAACTCACCACAACCCAAAACAAGACTAAACATTGAGGTAAACCATTTGAAAAATATACATCACAGGTTTTGATAACGGTAGTAGGCGACATTTAAAATGTGTATACGTTTAATTTTTTATGAATTTGTGGCAGTCCATTACA